AAACCGAACTTTGTTCACCAGGTGTTCAATCAAACAATTACACATGTTTCGGTTTATGGTACTCATCGATGTACATAATTTTCGTATTAGGATTTGTACGCCATATAATGTTGTCCCAATGTTACTAAATTAGTTGGTTACTGTGTTTGTTAAATGTACTCTCTATAATGAATTGCTTAGTTATGTGATTTATCACCAAAAAGAGAGAAACCTCAAAACAAGAGAAGATTTAAAAGTTTCTGTAAGAAGTTCAATAACAAAACCAAGAATTCTTTAATGAAAGAATTGATGAACGACGCGTGCTTAAGGACAAAAATCATTATAATTCATTCTATTTCTTGTTCACTATTTCTGAGAAGTTGTGGTATTAATCAAATCTTTACTGAGTTAATATTTAAAGTGATGCAGGCTGAAAGTTTGTAAACAAAAACAGTGCGGACGGTTCGACGGAACCAAACGAAAAACTTGCTCAGTTGACGTTGATGGATGTAGCCGGCAAACGCGCTAACGCCGGCGACCATTTCGCTAAAGGTACTCCTTGAATAACCCATACTTATTTGTAATTCGGTAATAGCAAGAATTTACACAACGGTAATATGATTTAGCAGACTTTTATTATAAAATTAAATCACCCTAAAATCTTCACATTTGGAGCAAACATGTCTAATAATAGCACGTATTATTATCTTCCCTCTTCGACCATATTTAATGTAGTCGTTCTCGCAAACGTACCTCTTGATAGCTTATTTGCATTTTGGGAATGACGTAACTCAGGATTTCGCTAAGCTGACGTATAAAATGGCGTTAATCTCTTATTTAAATACTTAGTAACATCCCACCCATTGTGACTGCTCGATTGTACTGGATTAGGGGACATTTGAATAGATGTAATGTAGTCACGGAAAAATCAAACACAACAACACATTTTGCTAAATTTCTTGTTGATTAGATTTTAGTAATAAAAGCTAAATACAACAACTTGCTGTATGTTGAGACTATTCCAAAATATAATAATGCTTATACACAATACCAAAGGCGTTGTTACAGTAAACATAATATTAGCAACATCAAAGAAAACTGTATTGAGGAAAACAGTCCGTTTCCTTGTTCTTAACAGGTTGTTCTCAAAGACATAGAAAATTATATTATAGAATTGTCAGTATACCAAAAAACTTCACTAATTATTATTAATAACTACGTAATGCCCGACGTAATAATGTTGATTCGAAATGAATGTGATAATTTCGTTAATATTCATATTTTCGTTGGCCATTCAACATTCGACACAAAAAGGTAGAGTGCGCCATTTCAGCTTTATTTGCATTGAAAGAATAATATAATACAAAATGTAATGAATAATGGCAAAGCTGATAGGATATTGGATATAAAAGTTGATGAAATGGTTAAACCACAATCCTCGATTGATAGAAAATTATATTTGAGTCCGTAAATTAATTTTCGCTTTTGTCATTCAATATTCAATGGCACCGGATTTAAATAATAAAATAAAACGAAGTTGGGAATTCGTTGCTTGTATTTTTCATGTTGAAAGAGGAACAGAGCGTCTCGGGTTGCTGTAAATAGCAATTTTGTCTGTCTCCCAAGTCGTAATTACGCTGGAAGGCTTCTAAAGGCGATCGACTTTTAGTTGACTTGTTTAGTTCTTATTTCAGTCGCCACCATACATCTTCGAGTGACCTTTTATTTGACATTCAATTACTTTATCCTCACTGCAAGATCTAGTAAAGCGATTTAATCAAACAACATTCCAGTGATTGGAATTCGAAATGAAAACTTGCAAAAGAAATAGTCGTTAAAATATCTAGGTGAGTTTATTTTTGATTTGAATTACTTTTATTTGTCTACCTCTAGATTCACGATAAATATTTTATATATCTTTAGTTTTTTCTTATTGTTCAAGATAAAAAAGCAATTCCATGAATTATTCTTACATGTGAGAAAATTATCTTCAAATTCGTAACAAATACCATTTAGAGTAATCATTAAAAAAATCGATTGTGTCATAAACAAATGAATTCTAACACTCCTCATCTCATGCATAATATAAAACACTTTCTTTAAGGTTCAAGGCTTTAGTACGCCGAAAGTATTATTCAGTCTATTCATTAAGGACTTTGAAATTAACATCACAAGGCATTTTGTATCGATGTCATTCGTTTTTAATCCTACCCTTGGAATTGTCATCACGATCCTGTTTCACTCACCTCATTAAATAAACTGGATCTGTTGAATGAATAAATTAAAAAGCTTGATAAAGATATCCGATTTTAAAGAAGTGCGTTGCCTTTTTTGCGTCCCCTTTTTTTTAATTGGATTCCAATGTTGCCAAGTTTGCGTTTTATTACTTTTAATTTTTTATATTTGTTTTTGGACAGTATTATAGTAAAATAAAGGTTATTTTTGCTTTTCTGTATTGTAAATAAATAAATCTAGATTTGTTTTTAGGCCATGACAGCGTATCTGAATAACGTTTTTTTTTAAGAAACACATATGAAAGTGAAGGACTATTGTTACATTTTTACTGTTATTATTTACAAATCACGCGAACTGTTGTGGTTGAGTCTGGCAAAGTCATTTGTGTACTCCACCCATTCCCCTGACATTCCATTCAACGCTTCACACAGAATATATTCAGACGGAAGATGGAGCGATTACTTTGATTACACTTTCCGTTTACAATACCCCAGCTGAAGCACGTTTACATTGTTCTTTTATAAATATTAAGACGTTTTCAAAAATAACTTTTTGTTATTGTTAAAATAGGGTCCATACAACATCCGATACAATAAAAATGGCTGTTGCGATTCACAATGCGAATACGAATAAGCAGCACGGGTTCATTTAACTTTTTAAATTACGAAATTTTTGGGGTATCACAATATCTTCTTGTTTATAGCTACTTACTAAAGATTGTATCATAAGTAATTGTCTACGTAAAGCATTTCATACATTAAGCAGGTAGACGTGAGATGTATTTTCTGGAAAAGGTAGCAAAATATTCTAAAAAGGCTTTGGAGAATTCCTAAGCGAATGGGATAAGTTAAATTAAATACAGCTTTGTGCATGTGGACGGTAATCTTAATAATTTTAAGACACTTATAAGTAGTTATTAGTTATTTTCTTACATTTTTAGTTTAAAAATTTGCTCTATGCTAATGAAGCTTCGAACAAGTCAACATAAACTGTGTGATGATGGGATTGTAAGGTGTTTATAGAACTTTTAATCTTGTTTGTTAATCTTACTTAAGAACTAAGCGGAGGGGAAGGGAAGGGATGAGAGAAAAGTGACAAAGTTTAACCTATGGAAAATGTTTTGTGGTCAAATCTAGCTACTGGCTTTCCGAAACTTTTCTTTCAGGTTGACCCTGATATTATTTAAATTCGATTACAATGATAAACGTACATGGAAGTAAGCATTTACATTACCTCCAGTTTAGGTGAGCTATAAGCCGTAGGCGTTAAATTAATTCAGTATAAAATCTGTGGGCTAAATAATATCCTAGCTCCGTATTAGCTTGCCACGCTGCGATAGTAATTTATTTTGTTTGTCCAAAATTTACATGAGTCCCAAAATCTCGACTGCAAACACATAATCAAGTTTGATAAATGCAATATCATTTTGCAGTTGAAACAGCATAGTGGATAGTAAATCGGCGAGAGCATAATGCACAAGGTTGAAACATTCATGATGATTACATCCATAAATTACCCGGTTACCTGCTCGTAAATGGTTGATTTATCACTCTCGTACAGAAGTAATGTGTCGCAGTGTTTCGGGTCACCAATTATATTTGCATGTTCGTGCAAATACATTAGTCGAGAGTGCGTGATAAATGACAGCGACGGGACTAAATAAAATTATGTCGTTCAGAGTCCATTTGGATATTTGAACTGTATTTACGTTATTGTTTTAAGCAATAGTAGCCTTAATATTAATCTTAATAAAATTGTTTCTTCCTTTAGAGTGAGTTCCCTAAGCTACTGCTTAGTGGGAAACCTGGTGTTTGGGCATTTGACACCTAATGATAAATTCTAATTAGAAATAGAATCTACTCCAATAATTCTCATGGTCACGATGAGTCTGGCATAATCCGTTTAGATTTAAAGACTCTTATTATATTTTAATAAAGAGAAAAAAAATAGGATCTGTCATTATTCTGAGAAAGTCTTCCGTGCATTTTAGAAATTTCATGTATTTTATCGAATAGATAAGAATAGCATTTAATGGAGTCGAACTAAGTCAATTCCAATTCGTATGCCAAATGCACAGTTAGCTCAACATTCTAATAAGATTTTTTTATAAATTCTTCAAATCAGGTACCAGTTGGACTATTATATTTTTTTATAAGCCCGAAGTTTGACCATTTTTAGTCTGATATTGCACTGTTATCTGGTTTAAAAAATAGTTTCTATCTACATTACAAATGATAAGGATGTTATTATTGCTGTGTAACGATACTTTTTGTTTACAGGTCAACGGTACTCTAGTTATTGGACAAACAAGAATATTTGTATGGACATGTATTTGTTTTAGAAATACGCGAATTCGTCGATGTGTGTCAGTGAACATGGACAAACGAACGTGTCACACCAATTTTAGTTCAGTTTCCGTGTCATTGGGTTCACTAACATTTATTGTATAGTGCAATCACCTTTTTAGATGCAAATAGATTATTATTATTTTATTAAGATTATATTATTGAACAATTTCGTTATGACGTGATAGGTTCATATTGTACTTAACGTTTGAGGTCAAATGATTTTGTGTATTGTGTGTAGTTAACACTACCTTACATACATTTTTACGCCATTATAAAGTTTAAAAGTTATGACGTAAAATTATGTACTCCATATTATTCAATAGCTGTGAAATTGTAATTAATGGAGGGAAGTGATGAAAGAACGAGAAGTAGATTCGTTTATTATTCTGTTAATTCTTTATTAAAAATGTATCACTGCCCGCTGGCTGTATCTACACTTTACGAGTAAATGGAATCAGAGGTCTGAATAAATACGGGATGGAATAAATAAAACAATCAAAGAAATGGTTTGGTTTATCTGCGAAAGCGAATCTAGGGCGACGTCCTCACCTTATGTATAGGAGTTCCCCAAAAATCGTTGAGGAAAATGTTTGATATTGGAGTCTGTGGTCTCAAGTCTCTGTTCTCTTTTATGGCACTTATGTCATCGAAGACGAAACCGCAGTACAAACAGTTGTGGTAGACGAGAATGCAGGCGAGAACCAGTATGGCACCCAGGCCACGGCGCGGTGGCTCCGGCAGATCCTCAGGCTGATTCTGACCCGTCAGGCGCCGCTTACTACGACCAGTTCTGGTTCTTACTGCCGACATCACTCCTCCGAATCTACACACGCCACTTACGCGGTCCATCATGTATCACATCGGCAAACAATTATTATTTACTTCAACACGAAACACTCTGACAGTTTCTAATAAGTACAGTCATTTACGAAAAAGCGAAACCGAGCCGCCAGAAATGTTTAGTCGCTAGCGAAAACACAATCACGAATAGAGCCGGGGTAATAAATTTTGCTACACAAAATCAGAGATTAAAACCGACAAATACGCAGGTATACACTACCGAACACTAAAAACGGAATATAACTTTTAATGTTAAGGTTATTACGAAGCACATGTCACTGTGTTTTTTCGAAATAATTTCATTTGACATTTATGTGATAGTTTCGTTCCGACGCGCGTGGACACGCCCGCTCAACGGGCTGATTCGCCGACAACTGCCGAAGAGCGACGAGCGAATGCCGCGTCAAGTCACGTGACCCGTCGTTTTACTGCGGGTCGTTTTGAAATGGCGCATGCGCCCCGAGCCCCGGGCTGGCGGCAAAACATTTTGTGTTTATAAGTGTGAATTAAAATACAATGGACATAGGTAACAATGTCATTATGCGAGGAATATATTTTTTAAATAAATGATTTTACAGTTTACATTATTCTCAGTAAAAGTGTTGTGAAACTAGTACTTTTGTTTGATCATATAAAAAAGCTAATAGATTTGTACAATAGTGCATAAAAGCAGTTTCTAAATTATTCACTCAAGTAAATTAGATTCAAAACCAATAAAACTTGTTTCTACCCAGATGATTTAGGTGCAGTGGCATATTATCACAATTTGATTACCCTACGGTATTATGGGCGCATGCCCGGAGGTTGGTAGCGGACGGGAGGGGTCGGAGTAAATGTTGATGACGACATTTGGTCGGGTTTGGGAGACTGAGATGAGAGCGCTCACGGATCGGAATACGCGCCTCTCTATTATCGGAAATTTTTAAATCCAAATTTCAAATATTAGAGCGAGAGTTGCCAAATTTTCGATTCGATTTGTTCTGACCGAGATTATTTTAAAACGTTACGAAGGTTCAACGTTTTGTTTTTGGGAAAATGTTATTTTCTTACTTATGTACGTTTTTGTGCGAACATGTTAAAGCTGTTTGTCACCCGTTTTTTATTTCTTTTGCATCAACTGTACCGAATGATGAACTGTGTTAATAAATAAAAGGTTTTTCATGTCGCGGAGTTTGGTCGCATTTTAAGAGTAAAGTTAGGCAATCTCCCTGTGACTTTTTTGAAATGGAAATAAGAAATGGAATAATATTTTTGTCATAAATCAATGAACCGGTGTAATATTGTATAATGCCTTTGTGTAATGCGTGGATATTTGAAAACTATAAAAAAGGTCGTTGAAAAGCGAGGGCAAAGTTTAGGATTTATTTGAATTAATAACAATATTATTTAAGAATCGTGTACGTGATGGTTTTACATAAAATGGTTTTTAAGCTTATAATTTTATGTAGGTATGGTATTTTTCAGAAAACTTAGATAGCGACGACTTTGGTAATCCAAAATTGTTACTGAGGGGGTTTCCAAAGGAATATACGAACTTTGTAATGATTCTATACACATAAGCATTTTTTGCATACAGATGCAGCAAATATACATAGAAACAGGAAGGTTTTGACTTCTGACATAGAATGCGAGAGAGATCACCTTTTCTACACGTGGACTCATAATAATTTTTTACCTAGATAAGGCGCAACATGCAAAAATGCTTAAGGGTATTTGTCATGGTAACCCATCCGGTATATTTTCGATGACCTTCGACGTAAACGTATCAAAGTTACGACGACTGTGTTTTGTTTTTCTGTGTTTTTGGACCTTCAGTTGAATTTATTTTCTTTTTGAAAGGATTATTATTGGCTATGGAAAGCTCGAGGGCAAGAGATGGGATGTTGGAGACATACATATGTATATGTAGAATGTTTCAGAATATCGATTTTTATCTGGGTATGGCAACATTTCGGACAGTCATTATGGTTGTGGCTCAAGCTACAAATTATAGCAAAAAAAGCTTCAAAAATTGACTCATTACAATTTTTTTAAAGTTATCAACGTAATTCGAGGAAATTCAAATTATCAATACGTTAACCCTGGAAATATTTTTATTTTTGGAACCTATACTATAGTATCTATTCTAGTCTTCGTTCAACTACTTTGTGAAGGTTTTTAAAATCCCAATGTAGATTTTTTTTAATCTATATTTTATTTGCAAGGATTTTTCTTATACTATTATAAAGGGGAAGAGTTTGTCTTTTTGTTTGTTTGTTTGAACACGCTATTCTCCGTAACTACAAGTCTGATTTGAATAAATATTGTGTTGTTTGTTGTGTTGGATAGAGCATTTATCGAGGATGGCTATAGGCAAACATCACGCTACAACCAATAGGAGCTGAGCAGAGCGTGTGAAACCACGCGGAAGTAGCTAGTCTTTGATAAAGATCATACCTACTCCGATTATTGTATATAATAGGTACTAGACACTAAATAATTATTAACAACAAATAACAATAGGAAAATCTAACTTACCCGCTATCTTAACCCTTGATCGGTAACCACTTTTGCAATGACTGGACTAATAAAGTTAATTGTATTTCTAGTTTAAATCCCCTTATTTGGCAACAAACATTGCGCTCTTAACAAAAAAGTATTTAAAACTGGTATTGAAACTCATGGCAGTACAAAATTTCAGAATATTTATTAAAATAGTTTTTAAACATGTTCAATTAAATATCATGGTGATCATTTAAGGCTTTCATAAAGGGTTGGGAACGTGTTCTGCTTCACAATGGTCTGTAATGAAAATGTTGTAAATAAATGGCTCCAGCTTTCTGTGTTACGACCTGCAACATGATATTTATTCGTTTTTATTTTTTAATTCCACTGTTGTTTGTTGTGATTTGCTGAGTATTTAGATTTGATTCGTAATGTATGTGGATCATTACGACTTTTTCTTATCGCAGAGAACCTAACGGGTTATCGGGGCTCCGGAATGCAGGAGAAGGAACGGGGTGGTTTTTAGTCAGTAAGTGTCTGACTCTCCCTCCCGCCTGACCCAGGCGGGAGCAGTCATTTGATGATTTTCCCCTCTTAAAATAATGCCTTTTTCTTAAAAAAGAACTACTAATGTGAATTAGTAAGTATTAGTAATTACCTATGTGAATAGGTATATTTTAACTACTCAGTTTTTATATGTCGTCTTACGAGCATACAGATCACCTAATGGTAAGTAATCGGCGTCGCTCATGGACACTTGGAATACCAGTGGCGTTACAAGTGCGTTACCGGCCTTTTGGGGATTGTTGGGGATTCAGGGATTGGGGAAGGAGAGGGCATGATTATGGGCCTCCAATAACCTCACCCAAGACGAGACACAACGCAAGTATCTAAAAACTGAAAAGATAAGATGAGGAGATGTAGTAAATAGTCTTCTTCTGATACTTATTGATACTTAGTTAAATAAAATTGATTTATAATTAAAAATAGTCCACATATTACGTTTGTTGTAGATAAAGACGACAGTGACGAGTTTGAATGTAGTTAACATACCAGCATACCTACATATTACTAAAGATATATAGAGGTAGGTACTTATTGTTCTACAAAAAGTTATTTATAGATTTCAAACAACTTATTACTTATCAAAAGTACTTCGGAAATGTCTGAGCGCTAACACAATCGCCTAAAGCAGGGACAACAAACTTTTTGGATTAAGTAAAAGGTTTTTTTACAAATGCTTCAATGTCTAGTAAAAGTTAAAGGAATAACAATCTACGAAGGTAATTACGTAAGTTGCTTAATGTGATTCAATATTAATAAATAAATATATTTTAAGTTTTTTAGGATCTGTTTATACTATGTTATTTATTGGCATTAATTAATCAGTGCTCAATAAATACCAGGAAACAAAGAAACTCCTTTGATAAGTTTTTTTTTAACAAATTTATTCATTGAAATTTTACATAGGTATTGCCTTAAATCTAAACTCGCCAAACTTTGACGTTTGATGGCGAGAGACGCTCATTTTACAAACTATTTCTATTATTATCATAATATGATGGGAATAAAGTGATACATATAAGTACCTATTTCGGTACTCACACAGGCGCACGCATAAGTGTCAAGTGTCACGCAGTCACGCTGCACATCAATTGATCTGTGACCCATAGCAAGTATTAGTAGTAAACCGAACAATGTCCACTTCCCCTCACTTCAATCTTTTTCAATTACAGTAACAATTCACTGGACCTTTTAGGCCCTTTGTGGTCCTTGCCGCTGAGAACTTTCATTCAATCATGTTAATTATTTTCTTAAGGGCATTTTCGAAGGGGAGTTTTAGGGGACTAGAACTTTTCTATACAGGTATTGTTGAGAGGGCTTTTGAAATTGTTAAGTAACCTCGCGACAAGATTAAAATGGCCACTCCAATTGTGTACGAAGTACTACGGAAAATGAATACGAATTTGGAAGAGTGTCGCCGCGCCGCCGAGAATTCGTCGACTCTGAATTAGTTTAGTGAAGTTTGAAATGCGAATGGAGATTTTCGATTCGTGCTAGGTACTTCGTGATTTGTCGGATTAACTCGGTGATGGGAAACGTCAACTGTTGTGTGTAGGGTAGGGGTTGCGGAATCATGGCTATATTCGTCGGTTATAATAAAAGAGTGTATATTTTTACTGCCTTATTGTTTACGAAGTCGCAAGCGCAATAGCCGACTATTGATCTCGGATTTGACTAATATATGAAGCGAAGAATTAGTAAGATATTTTGTTTTCAAAAAAATCCACTTACTGTATGTATTTTAAAATAGCGCGCCAATAGCTGATACCAATTTCGTCAGCTCTTACAAGTGACTCCGTGGCGCAACGGTAGCGCGTCTGACTCCAGATCAGAAGGTTGCGTGTTCAAATCACGTCGGGGTCAATCTGTACTTTTTGCTATTTTACAATATTTTAATTTTCATTCATTACATTCTCATTTTTACCGCTAATTTATTTTTTATTCTATTAAATCAGGAGCAA